ATGATAGAAAAGATAGAGAAAGATAGATGATAGAGAAGATATAGATAGATAATGATAGAGAAGATAATGATAGAGAAGATAGATAATAAGATAAAGATAGATGATAGAGAAGATATAGATAATGATAAAGAAGATAAAGATAGATAATGATAGAGAAGATAGAGAAAGAAAAAAAGAAAGAATGAAAGATAGATAAAGGGATGGGATGGCAGGTGAGGAAGAATGAAAAAAAGGAAGAGGGAGGGAGAAATAAATAAAAAAAGGGACGGGAAGTGAGAAAGACAGAGAAAGGAAGGGAAGAAAGAAAGAAAGAAAGAAAGAAAGAAAAAAGCAAGGGGTTGAGGCAGAAAGGAAGAGGGGAAAAGAAGAAGGTTTATTTTGCTGCCCCTGAAATTCTTCTAGAGATGTTGACTTGGCCTTGGAGTCTCCCCGGAGCTTGGCATCCAACTCATCTTTCTTCTCAAGGCTCTTGGGAACTTCTGAAGGGGGGGAAGCCTTGAGATGTCACCGGAGAAGCCGTTCTACCTTCTCAACAGCCCCGACCGTTGCTCTCAGCTCATCTCCTCTCTTCGGCCAGGCAAACCCTCCTAGATGGACCTTCCCACACCGCCCGTGTTCCTCCCCTCCTCTCCCAACAGGAGCTGTGGGGGCCTTGGACTTCTTGGTCCATCAGTTGAACGTCTTCCAAGAGTTGGCCCCATGGTTTTTGTTTTTTTTTTGTCTTTCAGAAGCTGGAGAGGTGCATGGGGACGGTGACCTCTCTGACCGGCGGGCTCTCGGAGAGGGAAGCCAACGACGCCTTGAACGCCCACGTGAGTTTATTTAGCTCCTTCGCTTCGGATCTCCGTCCCTCTCCAACCTGGATCTTTTCTGGAGGCCCAGGATTTTCAGCCCCCGGTGTAGAAATGAAGCAAAGTTTCTGTGCCTTTTTTTACCCCTCCTTCCCTCCCACCCCTTAGCCACTGGGGTTACCTTCCTTTCTTCCTCCGCCAGGTGTGCAAAGGCGCCCCCCAGCATGAGGAAGTCTGCCTGGGCCTTTTCACCATGATCCTGACGGAGCCTGCTCAAGCCCAGAAGGTGACAAGACTTTCGTTCTGGTTTGTCTGGGATGAACACCCGTTTCTCTCTTCCACCTTTGGAAGGA